CTGCGGTTCTCGGCCTGAGGGAGCAGAGGCGTGCAGGTGGGGGTGGGTATGTTTCTGTAAATATTTAGCGGAAGATAATGAAATTCCAGTGATGTACAAAAAAAATAATAACAATTAATGATTCCCACAAACAGACCTTCAGTTTGGAGGATAGAGTTTTTGTCTATTTTTATGTATATTTTTATACTGCTTGGGGTAACCTCATTACCAAAAGTCTCTCTTCTATGTTGGGGGTCAAGTTCGGTAGCACAATTTTAAAGCAAAATTACTCTTTGGGCATTTTAAATGCTTATTTTTTTATAAGCCTCAAGACAATTATAAAATATAAAATCTGACTGTGTGTAGAAATGATGTAAGAAACCAAGTTTAGTGGAAGTTCTAGAAGATGTTAAATAAATTTTGGAAAGACGATGCAGAAGTCCTCTCATACGGTACCAAGCAGTTGTGTGTGATTCTTTCCCGAGAAGAGCAGCGCTTTGCCTACCGAGAAATCGAAACAGAATTGTTTCTACCTGCTGCACCGTGCAGCAGGGTGCATTAGCGGCTGTATTTTTAAGCTCTTATCCAGCTGTACCCCTTTTCGGATGCGTAGTGTTTTCGGCAGTTAGCGAGCTAAATTGTTACACCACTGTAGTTTTGGGGGAAGATTGGGACGATGGGGCAGCCCTGCTTCTGTAGCTGATTCAGGCTCCAGTTCAGCAAACGGTTGGAGTGGGTGACTGAAGAGGTGAGAAGGGAACGTGGGAAGTTCAGGAGCTGGTTGGCGAGGACGGGTGGAGCCGGGTGACCTCGCTCCCCTTGCAGCGAAGGACGGGCTGTGGCTACAGCGGCAGGAAGGATTAGCCCTGGGCTCGCAGGGCGGTGGTGAATTGCCGAGCGCTTTCTCCTCTCCGGGGACGGAGGAAGCGAAGGCAGCAGGAGCGACCTGGAGCTACGGCTGCTTTGGGGCTGTCTGGGGGGCTCTGGTCCGGGGGGGGGGGGGGCCGTGGGGCTGACAAAGCAAGGGAGCCACGTGGTGAAGCTCGAGGATACGGATTTAAACTTTCTGTGAGGTCAGGGAGGATTTTTGGCTGGGCTTGGGCGGATGGGGACCTGCCTGGAGGTCCACGAGGCTCCCACCATGCTCGAAAGCTTTTGCTCCCCCTTTGCTTTGACTCAGAGTAAAGCAGGGCCCGAGACGTCCCCGGTTAGAAAGCGATACTTGAAGCATGACAAGACCCCCGTGTTAGCCTGTGAGCGCAGATCGGCCCGTGGCCGTGAGGAAGGGTTGTGTTGGACACTTTGGGAAGTTCGTGCTCCCTTTTGTCTCGAAGGGGACGAGCACCAGCGCTGTTTGCTGTACAGTCTGATCGTCACTTCAGTGGGACTCACACCAAAATGTTGCCATGGGATGTTATGTGAATGTGTTTAAAATGAAGAAGGGAAGATTAAATCCTAACTATTGATATGAAGGGAAGATCCAATTATTGTATGTAGGGAGAGACGGACAGGCTGATCAACTCGACTTGCCCAGCCTGCCTCTTTCCTCCAGTAAGAAGTGCTGCTTTGTGGATTTAGGATGGCTTTTGTTTTGCTTGGTTGGTCCCATTAGGATGCATTTTCTTTGCACTCCTGGTGTCGTGCTGGCACGTTCTCTGGCCATGCTGGCAGCAGGAGAACGGGGTCTTCCACTGGGGCAACTGCTACGCTGGAGACACCGACATTTCCTCCCTGGCAATTCTCTCCTCGTTGGTACTTTGGACAGGATTTTATTGTTACCGTTTTTTTTCAAAAAAATAATACAAGTAGCAAATTATTGAGCCTTGCAAGAGGAATTTGCCTCTTCCCTTCTTGGAGTCAAAGGCCACGTAGGGAGAAGCATCATATTCAGTCACCTGAGATGACTGAGGAGCACCCGAGATGCACAGATCTCTGGCCTGGAAGGGGCTCAGAAGTAGTTTGACCCGAGATAGCTCGGTGCCTCTGTGCTGCGCTGTCTCTTTATCAGGCAATCCAAGCGTGCCCAGGCTATCTGCCAGAGATAAGAGGGTGAAAAGGTCCAGAGCGTGGGAGGGGAGGGGGGATGGGTGTAAAACAGTGACAAAACCCACCAGTCCCCATGCGATGGGTGACGGGGTGACGAGGTACGAGACAGCAACAAAATCAACTGGAATGGGGGGGGGGAGCCTTGCTCCCCCACCTCACCACCATCGCCTCCCCTCCCAGCAGATAAAGAGAGGAAAACACCATCATTTCACTTGCTCTGGTAGAAAAGTGGTCACTGAAGGCAAAAGAGGCGATTCCTGGTCACAAGGTAATTTGGAGTAAGAGTCAAATTATTTCCCTTGTGACATCCCTGACAAGTCCAGCGTCTTTCTGGCCTGAAAACAAAGAAAATGCATCTTAATGGGGGTGCTGGCTCCGTGCGGGGCAGGGGGAGTTAAATAAAGCCAAAGACTGTTCGGCTGCTAGCAGAAATGAGTGACTGTAGATTCACCTGATGTTGTTATTTCGTGTTTACAATATTTATTTTTAGTAATTGACTGCAATTATATTATATATAGGCTTCCTTATTTTTGTACTTTTCATACCGTTTTCCTGAGTGTGGTGTTGTACTTCTCAGCTCCCCTTTGCCACGATTGCTGCTCCTAGTCAGTGACAAATAAAAGAGAGAAAAAAACAACCAACCACCAACCACCCATTTTCTGGGGCAAGTTGTGATGTCTTTGGGTTTCTGTGCTCCACACCCCTGCAACGAGCCACTCCTCAGCAACCCCTCAGGCTGGGCACCTGCACCCCTGCCCCAGCCCAAATCCCTGCTCCCATCCGCTGGGAAGAACCACCAAAGCTGGGAAGGGATTTGTTTCTGGGCAGCGACAGTCCCTCCACAACCAGGAAGGCGAGGGAGGGCAGAGGTGGGACCAGGACACCCAGAGGTCAAGGGAAGGAGTCGTTAAAAGTCTGGAAAAAACCATCGGGAGGAGTCTTACAGGAGCTCTTGCTCCACAGCCCACACCCTCACGGCGCTGCAGGGCGGCGGCTCCCCAGCAGCGGGGGCAGACGGGCACGGGGGGTGCGCAGGCCAGGGCTGCGGTCGCCCGCGGCGGTGGCTTGTCCGGGGCGAGCAGGGGCAGCGGGTGGCCCTGGGAGCCAGCGGGGTGCAAGGGCAGAGCAGGGTCTGCGGGGCTGAGCGGGAGGCGCCAAGCCCTCAGCACACAGCAGGGGCGCCGGGGCAGCTCGACCCAGCACCCAAGTTTAGATTTCAACCCTGGCGTTACAGGGAAACAAAACCAAGCCTGGTTTTGATGTACCTGTTCTTCTGCCATTAACAAGCAGCCCGTATTTCTTTCCACTCAATCAATGACGGCAGAGCAGGGTCTGCGGGGCTGAGCGGGAGGCGCCAAGCCCTCAGCACACAGCAGGGGCGCCGGGGCAGCTCGACCCAGCACCCAAGTTTAGATTTCAACCCTGGCGTTACAGGGAAACAAAACCAAGCCTGGTTTTGATGTACCTGTTCTTCTGCCATTAACAAGCAGCCCGTATTTCTTTCCACTCAATCAATGACAGTTTTCAAGCCTTGGTACTTCTAGTTAAAAAAACCAAACCTGCTTAAGTGTCTAAATGCCAAGTCCGATGCTGCAGCAGATGAAGCCTTAAAATGCTTCTGCTTCCAGAGAAAGAGGGCACAACACAAGGCTGTACGGAGGTGCACCCACGGACTGAATCCAACGGAAAAAGCCATCATGGCAGAAAAGGACAGACACTGGGCAGTATTCCACTGGAAGTCATTTATTGACAAGTTGCCACCTTTTTCCATCCTGCCCAACACATTTTTATCCTTGTTATAAAGTACAAATGGTTTTATCCTTTTCTGACAACATTAAAAAAATAGGCTACTAAAGAGGCAAAATTCCCACTTGGAATCCAAAAATCCTGCTGTAAGAATTCAAAATCGCAGAGACAAACATAAAACCCAACACATACAAAGAACGAACACGATGCAGCTCTTCCGCCCGACGCGCTCGTCAAACCAACTGAAAAGGAATCCCTTGTTCCCAGTTCTGACTTTGGATCCTGTGACCTTGCTTAACTGATGTGAAGTTTGTGTTAACACATACAACTCAAAAGGCACTCAAAGGTCACAAGTTCCTGAGCTAAAACGGGATATATTCCCAATGTAACAGTTAAAACAAGTCACAAAAAAAAAAAAAAAAAAGATGTTTAAAAACTGGTATTTGGTTCATGTGAGTATAGTAAGCGTTCAGCAGAATCCTAGCTGAAAGCTGCTGCTGTGTAACAGACTCAAATGATGGTGAGTACATTAGAGTATCGTCAGTACATGGAAAAAATAATTCGCTTACGAGCAGCCTTGCTAGCAAATTCACGTGCTAAAAAAAGATAAATATTTGCGGCAACGTTAAAAAAAGCCCAAGAACAAGAAACGTACGTACGAGAGATGCAATAAAGGCTTAGAAACAAGCAGGATGGAAAGTCTGTACAGTTAAATAACTAACAAAAGTCGACAGGCAACATTTACACAGATGTATTTGGCCCCAATGGAAAAGGACCACAAAAATAAGCAGAATATGGATCTGGTACTTACAGATCAGTTATTAAAAAACCCCAAAACCACACTAACAAAACCCACACGCCCTACAACGCGTGCTCAGAACCTGACAGGTAAGTTCATAAGATGTCCTTCCACAAATTCCCTATTTCTGATTTGGCTCAGTTTTCGCCCAGAAGAACAGAAGTGTAACGTTTCTCGCACACGGAATGGCTATCGTCTGAAGATGCAGAACAGAAATAAATTAAAAAAAAGGTATGGGATAACTAGTTTTGGCCTGTATAATTTCTGATCTTCTCTTCAGATAATGCATAGGAGTATACTAAGGCCATATATCTATTTGCTACAGTGTAAGGCCTTTGTTGCTGTCGAAGCTCTGTGCGTCAGCAGGGCATTTAACTTAAAGCAGGCAGACGGAGCTCTCGAAGGGCTCCTCTAGTCCACTGGAGAGGTCTCAGGCTTCCGGATTATCCAGCAGCGCCTCGCTGTCCGCCTTCTTCTCTGGCGACGTGTACAAGAAGTTACAGCAGATATAGAGCGGGAAGATCAGGAGTCTGCTGTCCAAGTTCATCACCACCTGCTCCTGCGAAGCAAACACGGGGGGCATTCGCGTAGGAAGCGATGCCATTAGGGCGAAGGACAGCAAAAGCCCCCAGGAGCGGGACGAACAGCCGTTCTCTACGTGTTAACTACTACATATTAAAAAGCAGTAGATGATAAACCCCAAGACAGTCATTCCCCTTCAGCTCAAGCCGGTATTTCATACCATTAACGCGACGCTCTCAAAGCGCTTATAACCCTCTGGCCCAGCGCCGCCAACCCCGCGGCATCAAGGCCGACGGAGCCGTAAGAAACGGCAGAGCAAACTTGGCCGTCAAGCATGCTGGAGAGAAAGGGAGGCTTCTCCTGCCACTCCCAGTTTAAGGAGATGTCAGCAAGCAGGCACTCCATGACAGCCTACACTTTGATGCAAATTACGCTTTGAGAGCAGGAATTTTTCAGTTTTCCTCTAGGAACTGGTTTTGGGGTAGAAAAAGTGAAACTTTATCCGACAGTAAGGACGGCATTTCCAAGGAAAAGTGTTCTACGTACTCACATCTATGTATCACTGCTGACTGGGATCTAAGAAACTTGACGATCAAGCCTTTCACATTCCCTACTAAATTCTGCCGTCAGACGGGTGCAAACGGGCACGTTCTCTTAAGAAAACTCTGAGGCTTTTGCTCATTTTTTGACCAGAGCAATACACACCGCCCCCGAACGATACGCAGACATTCTTTTAACTCTTCAGCTTACAACACAGAAGAGTCTTCAAACAAACTCCAAATTTGCCTCCAGATAAGCAGGAGTCGGATGGATGCATTTTTCAGACGGGGAACCTCACCAGCGCTGGCCGTCTGGGAAGGCGAGGGGCGGCCAGCAGAGCACTGCGCTGACACGGACAGCTTCAGCAGCACCACGGGAACTCACGTCACTGTTACCAACGCTCACGAGATCCACGCTACCCTGCTCTAGGCACACTTCACAAAGTAGCTTAACCTTCCACTACCTATAAAAGGAACACTTGAAATTCCACATAAGCAATGACAACAAGCAGAACAACTCCTCTTCAAAAGCACTGCTGACGTCTCGGCGTTCTTTTCACGCCTTGGACTCCACAATTCAAGCTCAGCAGCTCAAAAATCCACAAACATACCTGGTCCTTCTCGAGGGTTAGGATCTGATAGCCTGTCGTTCTACTGCAAATTATTTTCCCACTGCTGTCAAAAGAGGCGAGACGTAACCTGGGGATATAACAACAGTTGAACCACTTAAGTCTCCCAACACTTCAGTTTTTCCAGCACAAAGAGCTTCTCCCAAGGAGACAGAAGAACATTTTCAAACGTAACTAACGTGGTGGCAACAAAATCTAACGGAAGCACAGACGGGAAGATGTCGTTACGACAGGGTCTGCCTTCTTGCCCGCTGCTCACCTGAAGGCTATGTTCCTCCGAGGCTGCAGGCTGACTGATCCGCTGCACGGCTGGTTCAGCGTATTCCGTTTGAAAATGATGTAACGATTTGTGTAAGTAACAAGGAGGTCAAAGCCGAAGTTGAAGCCAGTCCACCGCCAGCAGTACTGAAGAACACGAGCAAAAGAACCAAACCAGTCTGAGCAGCGGCTACACCACGAGCGGTAAGCGCCACTTCAACAAACCACACCGGGGAACGGGATTCTCGGCTACAGAGGTGGACGGTGGACGCAAGGATCCTTGCCAACACCCCCGACATCTCGGCAGGCAACCACTCACTTTGGCAGCCAGCCCTGGCAGACAGATGACTACACGAGACAAGCTTAGTATCAGCTGCCTTCCAAACAGACCGAAGTACATAACACCAGTGGATCCAACGCACTGCGCTCCGGCAGCTGCACTTCCGAGCAGCACGTAACTGCAGGTCCCATCCGTGCTTAAGCCCTGCTCGGAGTACAACGCCCTTCGGTCAAGGGACTTCGGTGGGAAAACATTCACGTTTCCTGGTGGTTTTTTTTTCCAGGAGACCTCAAGACACGTGTGTGTATATGAACACACAGGGGTTCTGGCTGTGACTATCACACATTTTAGCTGGAAAGGTTCCTCTTCCAGTTAATACAGAGCTGTATTTTAACCGCGTGTATTCTACAAGTCTCAGATGACAAGTCATCGCTACATTCCCTCCTTTCACACCCCAAAAGTTTTTCCAAACATGGGCTTGCCTGCAGTGCAAGAGCACAATTAAAACACTAATTCCTCATTCGTCGCAAAGGCAGCAAGCGTTTTCATCCTTCTAGGGAGAATAAAACCATTTCTTCAACGTACCATCTCCATTACATCTTTTTGATGCAGTTTGACAATTAAGACCTACGTGTTTTGAAAATAACCCAACATGTCCAAGACATGTCGGGTATGCACAGACTTAGCCACATGCCATACTTACATCACCATCCTTTGCGAGTTTTCGACCACACCTCATGCTGTTTCCTTCCAGTTCCTCTTTATTTATTTCTTGAGGCCTACAAAAAAAAAAAGCGCATCTTTAAGGACACTTCAACAGCCTCGTACACTACTTTAACGTGGGAAAGATGAACAGACCCGAGTCAAGTGGTCTGACCACACAAGCGACCCTTCTTTGAGCAGAGGCTGGACCAGAGGACCTCCCTTCCGACCCGAACTGTCCCGTGAACATGCAACCGCTCTACAAAACCGCAATACAAACCCGGTTGTGACACCAAGTTAGGCAGGACTTTTACAAAAGCACCTTTCCAGACAAGAAAACAGGAGCTGTCGCAACGAAATCCACTCTCCAACCCTCCTAAAAAAGCCAAGTCCTTTTTTAAAGGCGCTGGTCCGACTGATGAGGCACAAGCGGGATCGAGCGCTCCTGCCAAGGCACAGCGGCAGGACTCTGCAGAAGGGCAGCACTCTGCAGAAGCGCCCACAGAGACATGGGGAAAGGTTTCTCGAAGCGGCTGGTTATGCAACTTGTCTAAAAAAAGTTTACCCAGAGCAATCATGAAGTGCCACAAGCCTCTCGATTCTGTCATCCTATACCAACGTGAACTTGTTTCACCCAAGTTTCCACTGGCGCTTCAACACGTAGAAAAATCTTGCCGAGCCAGCACAGGGAAGATCAGTCCCACTTTTCCAGAGGTACGTTACTCACTTAACTTTAGACACAATTACATCATTAACCAAATAAGCAACCATTGCCAGAAAGTCTTCAAGTTACACTGAGGACAAACGCCTCAAGTGAGTATTATAAATCACAATGAAAGGCAACCCCCCCCCGCAAGTTCAATTATAAACCCACAATATCAAACGATGTACTTCCAGCAAGAAAGGCAGCATCCGTTCTCTCCCTACTGTACACACACCACGAGAACTTGCGGCTACAGCTTTTACGAACAAGCTCCGTCTGTGGTCTTTTCGCCCCTGCTTCTGTAAAAACCAATCCAGGAAGATTAAGTATTTTATGAATAAGTTAAGCAAATCAGCTAACCAAATTCATCCAAGAACCTCCCGTGTGCTTTTTCCACACCTTCTAGCTGAACGGGTTATGTAGCTGACCTAAATTCAGCAATGGTGATAAAAGATTCATTTCTGTTTAATTAGTGACAAATTTCACAAACATTAGCACATAATGCTCAGACAGACATTAGCATTCCCCCCCCTCTCTATTCCTCGGGCAGCCTCAGAAGATGCAAAACTTCCAGCTTCAACTGCTTACCCTGGCCTACCCTACGCTTAGTGAACAGTCAAGTTATTCTGTTCCGTTCTTAAACGCTGCCAAAGAGACTATTAGAGTAGAAACGATTCCAGCCACAGACTCGAAAGATCTGTCTTGCATCTGTCACAGAACAAATGTTTAATTAAAAAAAAAAAGTGATCCACTTTAGCACACCAAGTAAACCCTGAGCAGCTACAGTTCCAAGTCCCAAACCCCAGTATTACACTTCAAAAATCCTCAAATTCTGAAGAGTGAATCAAATATTTTGTCCTTTTAAATGCAAACTACACAAAGTCGAAGAGAAACATTTTTTTTCTCCTCTCTAACATTATCAAAAGAGCAAACCACATCACACATTTCAAAGCAATATAATTTCCCATCTTGGCAGTCCTAGAATAAGCAGGTGCCACTACGCTCTGCAGCGGGCGGGATGTGAAAACAGAGCCTTCCTTCAGCTCAGACTTCACATTTTATCCAGCTTACTAAGTTTGCATCTGTATCTCTAAGGGAAAAAAACATGTTAAGACACTGCTACAGGCAGGAAGCGCGAGAGGAAGGGCAGCAGATCTGGATAAAAGGATGGTCTTAGAAAACCTTAACGCTTTTCTTTCAGCCACAGGCTGGCCAAACATCCCCGAGATCTGCTTCAGTACAAAAGAACAGCCGCATGTCTTCCCGTCTAAGACGCGAGTTACAAACCACAGGCCTCTCGCTGCGGGGTGGCACCACAGCTTGCCAGCAGCAGACAGAAGCGATCTCGGGACTCCCAACGACGCTTCCCTTCGCAGGGGTTGCGCGCTACGGGCCAGCGACGCCACAGCTGAGCTGCGGGTAACTGCAGGGACGCACCCCACACGTCTCCCTCCCACCGAACACCACGTTCAAGCACAATTAGTCCATTATTGACTACTGAACAAGCAGTGACCTGGATGCCACCTTGACCCATTAAGTTTGTAAACGACTAACGTCAGAATCTAAGACATACTGAGAAGAAACACTACACTTCACCCACTTCTTACCATTGATGAAAGACCTTGGCAATGAATGCCAGAGATCCCGGCAGACAGATGTCTGCTGTTAAGTAAAACTTTCTCTGCCCGAGATCTTCAGTTTCAGCTGTCTTGGGGGGGAAAAAAAAAAAAAATCCCATACTGCAAGAGCGCAAACTAGACAAGCAAGAAAAACTTGGAAGGAGCAGAGTGTTTTTCCACGCGTCGCTGACATCAGCAGCAGCGCAGCTGAACACGAAAGTTGCTCATTTTAAAGCTGGCATGACCCCCGTCTTCACTTCAGTTTTGTGTGAGAGCTTACTTTTTCAGAAGCATGTATATCTGACGGCTGGCAATTAAAATACTCTCGCTGTATGACAGTGAGCTACTAAGGGACATAAGAAATAAGCAAATACAGGGTCATCTTGTGTCAGCATGTTGATGACTCTGTTAATACTTGCACATTAACCGTGGTTCCTGTACGAGCTGGAAGGTAACGCACAACGTACGGTCGTCTACTGTCAGATACACCAACGACAGCATTACAAGAAAAGTCTTCCCAAGAAAACAGCAGTATCAGAAACAACCTACGACCACCTGACATCCACCCTGAGCAGCTGAAATAATGAGATTCACAATTACCTGCTTTACCTCTGCCATTTTCTAGAGCACTGCGATCGACAAACAGAACCACTTCTTAAAAATCTTGACTGTTCTTAAGACCAAAGTCAGGGTTTGGGGGATTTTTTACACTATTACATGTTAACATCAAAAGGAAGTAATTAAGGAAATATTTCCTATATAACATGCAATTAAGCCATGGAAGCCACTGCCATGGGGTGCTGGGGCTAAGGCATAAGCTGTTTCAAAACAGAACTGTGTGCATTTAAGGACAGGTCTATTGGTGCTCCATCGTTCAGGAATGACCCAGCCAAAACCTCCAGCTGGAAAACCCTGAGCTACTCACTGCCAGAGAAGTACATCAAGAGAACGCTCAGTCTTCACTTTAAAGGCATGCTGCCACAGACTGCACGGCCTTTGGTTCAAATGAGGACAGCAGTTCTTACACTTTGCAGATTGCAATTAATAAGTGAAGCCTACCATTGCAACCGAACATGCTCGTCTTCAGAACGGCAAATGCTGGGCTAACAGAACTGATGGAAGAAAATAAAGAAGTTGGTTTATTGGTTTTTGAAAGGCAACAAACATTTTGCAGCTTCCTGACCTGACATTCATTCTCCACAAAGCACACCAAGAACTAGGAGAGAAGGCACAGGCAGGAAGAACTCCCCCGGTCGCATTTTGCAACGGTTTTGGGGATTTAGAAAGAGATTAAGGGACTTGGCTCAACGCAACGTGGCAAAAAGCAAGCAGAAGGCAGGGAAACCGTTTGTGATCACACGCATACGTGTAACACACGTTAAACCATCAGGCCTCGCTGCCCAAGCCACCACCACTGACGATCCTTCTTAGGCACAAGCTCCAGAAACCCAGCTAGGTGTTACACGCAGGCAGCAGGCAGGGCACTACACAAAGCACAGCTCTATGCAGCACAGGGCCGTACTGAGAGGGCAGGGAAACGGGGTGGCTGTCACAGAACGTCCTCCATGGCAACGCAACGCCACCCCAGGGCGGCACGCGGTCTAGGAAGGAGAAAAGAGAGGATCTAGAATAGGAGGATTAGGGAGAGAACAGGGTCTCAGCAGTGGAGAAGGATGCACTGCCTGGGAAAAGCAGGAGGCGCTGGCAGCGGAGAGAGCTCAAACATAAAGGCTGCAGCGGGGGAAAGGTTGGGAAATTAGAAGGGAATGAGGTGAACAGGTCACAGGATGCCAAGCCCTGCTGGGTGCTGGGCCCCTGCTCGCTGCCTGGGAGGCCAGGATGGGAGAGGCAGGAACGAAGGTTAGCGCGGAGCTCTCCCTGCCTTCTGCACCAACACCGTTAGCTACACCGCACCGCAAGCCCTCGCCCAGCTGGCCCAGGGAGGGAGGAAGCAGGACAGAAAAGGCTGCTTCTCCATTGCTGTACCCTTCCTAAAGTCACCCTTAAAATGGAAGGCTAATCAGTTACTCTTTCACAGCCTCAACACATGTTTCAAGGCAAAAGTACCGGAGAGAAGCATTAACCAACAATTAAAGAAAATACAGAACGTCCCTCCCCAGCATTCACCTCTGGTCACGTTATTCAAGTTTTCTACAGCTTTGCTGTTTAAAGGATAGCAGGTCAGCCAGCCCAGGGAACAGACGGCTCCACAAAAATGTGCTTTCCCCCCACTCTTAAACTCCCAAAGGTAATCACGTCAGAATTTATATGAGAGGAAGGGTTCTAACTTAAGAAAGAAATAAAAGGAAAGCCTGTAATATACCTACCCAATATCATTGTCTTGTTCTGCTCTGAGCATGGCAAACCACTGCTGTTTGTAAACAGAGGACAGCCATTCTAAAATTAAAAAAAAAAATAAATAAGCTTGGTGGTGTCTTTGGAGCTGGGAATGGGGATGTTCACAAACATTTGAAATATGGAAATCAAATTACATTGAAATAATAAGGTTACACTTATTAACTGGACGGCCTAAGCAAACCCACCACCTGATAACACCCATCTGTTATTCATCTCCAGGCCTCAACTCCAGAAGAAGTGGTACAGATAAAAATCAACAACTAACACTACATAACTCAGGACTTCTTTAATCTTATCAAGCATTCACGATTGCCAGAAGTGATGCAACTCAACACATTTTCTCACCGCGCAAACTTCTGTTAAGCCAAGGAGCTTGTTAACAAGCTCTTGGGAGAAGATGCTGTTCTCTGAATCCCCAACTGAGCTCTACAGAAGTTAAACAAGAAGAAAACCGAATCAAAGCATAAAGGAAACAGTGACGTATCACAGCTATGGTAAAAACAAACAGAAATTGTCCCCTACCAGGAATAAACATAAATCATGTCTTCCTCCGAGAGCACCATAAAGATTTTATCGGCTGTATTAATTTAAGAGGGGCAACCAAGAGATGAAACAGAACAAATGCTAATAGCTTGTCAGTCACTTAGATAAAAGGGACTGGAGGCACAGAATGCAAGTTCTTCTTGGTCAAGCTAACGACACGGGCACGTATGCAAGGTCACGTACGAGAAGGAACTCTATGGGGGAATGGACTGGGATGACAGGAACAGCGAGAACCACCGTTACCATGAAAACAAAACAGGCAGCTGATGAAAATAATCAGATGAAATGATCACTTGATGAAAACGATCTTCAGGGGAGCAGAAGTGAGGCCGTAGGGCTGAGATCACCTTAGAAGACTCAGATGCAAAAAACCAGAACCCAGCCCTTGCCCCACTAACTCTAGAGTTAAGATTCAGGCTGGGATAGGACCAAAATGGGAATTGGCCAAAGTACAACAGAAAGCATAAAAACGATGTAAGGAAAACTCCACAGGTAAGGAACAGAGAACGGATGCCCTAGAAGGAAAAAAAAAATAAAATAAAACCATCAGGAGATAGAACATCTTCTCTATTTTTGTATATGTACGTATGTTTCACAGGTCATCTTTCAGCTGTAGCTGGACAGCCAACACTTCGCTTACAGACAGACACGGTGTATTTCTGTCTCTTACATCTTTTCTATGCAAGCAACAACAGACTCTGTTGTGAGCTCCTAATGTAGCATTTCAGTTTTCTCCTGCAGGTCCTAAACATCTACAGGGTATTAAAAAACCCAACCCAAACCCTAAAAAAAAAAAACCAACCCCTACACTATTTCTTTCAACTATTCAACAGGATTTTCTTCTTTACCTCCCTGAGAACAATTTCATCTACAACCATCCCAAAGCCTTACACTGCAACACAAACTACCCAGCAATTCCCACGTTTGTAGACTCTCTCAGGTACGATGCAATCGCCTCCAATACTGGACGCTGGCAGCCAACAACCTGTTTGAAAGTGCACCACCAGCCTTTGTCTAAGCCTCCTTTTAAATGATGAGCAAAAACTCCTCATCTTAACCCAGCTTTTGGCTACAAACTGCTGTCAAGGGATTACAAGGGCTATCAAGTATTAACCTCTAACAGCACTTCATCACACACATAGAGGTCTCCACATTATGCCCTCCTTCCCTCCCCACTCTTCCAGCTCTCTTGGAATTCAAGCTTTTTTCTTTTTTTAATTAATAATCAGTGGTAGAGTGTGAACAGCAGATACTCTTCCTGCACTAACCACTCGCTCAAAAATGGTCACCACATTACCTTTTCCATTGTACGACTACAAGGTGACCAACCCTATTTCAGCATTTATCACAGCTTAGGAACTGTTTATGAAAGAGGAAACATTTTGCTCTCTAATACCTCAGGAACCATGTGAAAATTACAGATTCTTTTTCAATAAACACAAGCAAATCAGGCTCAAAGCTGCAATTAATCTTGTAATAATTTAAGAAACATTCTTCCTCCGATGTGCACAAACAGAAGGCTTCTGGGTTTGAGCAGAGGCACAAAATTTGCCCCCTGAAGAACACTAAGAAAAGGCTGCTCACCACCGTTCTGGTAAGTGACAACAGCAGCAACGTTAAGAGAAGGAAATCGAGTGCAGTATTGGCAAATTTCTGGTTTGCAACTCCTCATTCACATGCTGACAAAGCCACTTCACAAGGAAATAATCCGCAGTTCCCCTGTGTCATCGTTAAATTAAGGATTTAAAGGGTCATTCACCCAAAGTTATCTCATTTTTTATCACAGAATGAAGATGCCTTTGCACTTTGATTAGAACTCACATCAATACCGATCTTAAGCAAGATGGTTTATATTTACGTTATACATCACTGAAGCATGTAAAATACCACCTATCAAAGATCACATCTGTTCTCCTGGGATTTTTATGCATAATCTAAAACGTGATCATTTGCTTGAGGTCAAAAACTGCCCCATCTACTGGACATCACCGACCAGACCATCCTCCTGCACACCCCGGCTGGCTCCATAACGCACTGCCTCCACCTGCTGTTCGAGGAACGCTTTATTGAAAGAGACATTTCGAGCACAGGGTAAGGAGTTCCTTCGTGCTTCACTCTGTCAGAGCTACTGCAGAAGACACTCTCTTCTCCATTTATTAGGATATTATTTAAACCAGAACCGGGAGTACGGAAAGCCCGTACACAAACGCAGCAGTGATTGCCCGCTTTCACTCAAGAGACTGACAGATTTCGAGCGAGGAAAGGGCCCCACCCCTCGCCACAGGCACCCCCCCATCGTAAATTCAGCTTCCAACAGCCACATTCTTTGAGCGTTTCAAAGCGTGAGGAAGAGGTGGTCGAGGTTATTCGGACATTCAGCTACAAAGAGCAACTAAACCACGACTCCTGGCAGAGACGGGATACAGCAGCACAGCACAGACAAACTGCGTAAAGTGATGCTCGCTGCATCATCTTCATGGCAAGGAAAGTGTTTTAAAGGCGTCTAACAATTTGATCAGGCTAGGAGGCTTCCAAAGAAATATCCCAACGGGTCTGTTTTGGCATTGTATCATCACTGTGTTGACATCTACGGCAGCATGAAGGAAAAAGCCAACATGAGACAAAAGAAATATTAATTTTACAGGAAGACAGCAGCGTAACTCAAGACAGGTTAAATATTTACATATGGCAAGAGGCCAAAGCGACCCCCAAGGCTACAAGTACGGACAGATGACAAGAACACAGATGTCAAGAAGTTACAAGTAAGAGAGATAAACGGCTCAATAAAAGCAGTCTTAACTGACACGTGGCAATTACACCTATACACAGACACCACAGAGACACGGGTGAATGGATGGTTACACTGCAGACAGATAGCAAAAAAATAATCATCAAAGCTGTGTACATGAGAGCTAGGAAAAAGGACTGTCAGAGAGTTAAGAGGCAAAATTCAGTGCTAAGATTCAAGTATGATAAGGGAACGCTGCACAGGGTGAAACACGGAGCAAGGATACCAGGAGCCAAATTCAAAGGCAGAGCATGAGAAGTGCAAACACTGTTACAAGGAGCACAGTGAGCTCTGAGGAGAAGGGGGCGGGGGGAGAAAGAGGAGGGGCAGGTGTTTGACATGATAAAAAGATACAAGCAATAGTGAAAAAATGTTTTCAAGAGAGCCCAACTTGAGAACTCATTTCCAGTCTTATTCATCCACCAGCAGCCAGGTTCACACAGCTTCCGAGCAGAGAACAAAGCCTATCTGTGAACTGGGACTTCAGCAGCAAGATGAGAATGGGGCTTTTTATTTTTCAGTGATAATGTAACATTAATAGCAGTGATCCATAATAGCATTAAATGGCATTTCACTCTACGGGCTTCAAAAAGCACCAGGACCTAGAATGAGGATGCGCTTTATCGAAGTCAAAATGCAAATAAAAGTACAAGAGCAGAACAGTTAACTATCTTCGCTCCTCCAAATCATCCTGAATACCTGCTCGTAAATAACACTTGTCTCTGAAGATGGGAAAAGAGTTCACAGCATCTTGTGCTTTTGGTTTTCACTTTCAAGTATTATTCCAAAGCCTACCAAAATCTACCCAGCCCTTTTTAGAAAGGTAATGGCTAGAAAACTGTTGAGTCCCAGCAAGTTTTGTGCTCTCAAAAGGAAAAGTTCTCCTGCATGTCTGGGGCTCTGGGGTCATTTAAACACTGCTAATGTACTCTGTATTGATTAAAGAGTATTTTTATAAACTGACCGATCAACAAAATGCTTAACACACCTACGTGTGTGTCTTTTAGGACTTCTACAAACGTAAATTTAATATTCAACTTCTGCTGAATCTTCAGCCACAATTCAGAAATGGAGATAAACATGTGAGCAGTAAGACCAGTAAACGCACCCGGATCTTCCCGATTCCTCTCGGGCAGGACGGGCTAGGAAAGGCACACAGAACTTGATCAGCTGAGTACTCGCTCACCTGAGGGTATCAGGGAATCTCTCTCGATAATTCTGGCTGATGCCAAGTCACTGATGATGTACTGTAATCTCAAGTGCGTGAACACGGACAGGAAGGCATTCCCCTGTTCTGATTCCAGGAATGCAATGTCATCCTCAAAATCTGCAAGACAGAACACCTGTATTACAATTTATTTTCCAGACCCTACTTATATTTGAGATGGAGTTTTAACTTATTGATCAGAGAAAGTCATTACGGACAGGCAAACGACATTTTGCAGCCAAAATGAAGAAATGACTCACATTCAAATCCTTTCAGCAGAAATGTCAGACCAAAGTTTTCCTCTTTTGAAATACACTAGTGCCTTCTAGCAAGAAGGCAACAAAAGCTTATCCCAAGTGAACAATAGCAAAAGCAACAAAGCAAAACCAGTGACTGTGTCTGCTCACTTGCAAACATGTGGACAGAACAGTGAAAAAGCGGTGTGCTCACTTGAAAACACGTGGACACCGCAGTGAAAAAGCTGTCAGTGTTGAGAATCTGGTGCTGGGGACTGCTGGCAGAGGCAAGCCTTCCCAGAGAAACCGGGAGAAAGTCTGGAAGTGGGGGAAGACTGTCCTGTTTTGCTTCTAACCCACCTCTTTCCCCGTCCAAGGCCACAATTAATCCTACCTTTCCTACGCTTGGCAAACCAGGCATCAGCTTCGGTTAAGAGTTGTTTCAAAGACCCATTCCAAGAAGGCACTAGCTGAAGGAACATCCACTAGGTAAAATAAACAGACTCTAGTGAGTTAACGGAAGAAGTTTTCAAACAAGTGATAGGTGCCTTATTAAAGAAACATTTTCGTAACACATTCATTCCTACAAAGATTCTGATACTCCCTTAAATGCTTCCAGTAACTATCAAAAAGGCTGAAATTCTCATCATGTGACAAATCAACTACTCAGGAGTTCAGCTTCACGAAGCCCCAGGCAGCCCCTTCGCTAAGTACCTTTTTGAGAGCAGTATACACGTCCATTTCCACTTGCATTACAAACAGGTTAGAGGAGCTAATCAGCTGTTTCATGAGGTTTATGCTGAAAAAAAGCCAACCCAGAAAGTCGTAAGAGACTTGAAAAAGTCATGAGACAATACAGACAAAACCAAGAAAGCAAGCTAGGTAACAAGCAACCACCACCAACAGCCTAGAAAGTTATCTGTAGCGAGCTATATACTCTGGAAGAAATCATATTTCATCACTCAAAGACAACCCAAGCCTCAATACCTGAGTTCTTTGAAGAGTTCAACACTCTGGTGAGTCATCAGGTTATTCAAGAGCCATTCAAGGCACCTAGATTAAAAGCAAGGAATTAGTATCTTCCTTTTCTTTATTACGTGTGTCAACAGTCCTGCAACAGTTGCTCAGGCTCACAAAGCCTGATTGTGTACCATGTGATTTGGAAACACTGCCTTAGCCAGAGACAGGAATGGATAAAAACATGAAAGGGTTATTTCAAGAACATGACGTTTACCACAATTTTTTTCAAATTTTTCTGAAACTCTAAAAGCTGCATTTAGTTTCTCTCGGGGTACAGTGAAGGCTAAACTTCAAGTACTATTAATGCCACAAAAACCTCAGAACACATGAATTCACAGCAGAAGGAAGCAGCTGGCACTAACCTCAGCATTCTGCTCCCAAATGTGTAATTAACCCTCCTAATTAAGTTCAGCCTAAGTTCTGAATATTAAAGCAGCTTTGCGATAAAACAGTCAAAGTATTATTTCATTGTCACACTGAAGACCAAACATGTTGTCACTACTAATACACTTTCGTAATTAATTCACAACACAGGGCAACCAATCTACCATATTCTACACCAATTGCAAGTTAATTGATTACAGTAGGAACTTCAAAACTCAACAGGACAAGCAGAGCCCAGGTCAGACAGCTTTAAAAAAAAAATAAATTTAACTTGGGCATTCTTCTGCTGTTTGTAAATTCCCACTTTTAAGGAGCAATGCAGAAAGCAGCTTGGAGAGAGGCATTCTTACTTTTTCTTCACAGAGTCTAACCCGTACGTCCCCGCTGAGTTGTAATAACCACACACGGTTTTTGCATTAATGGTTTCCTTCATTGTTTCACCACATTGCTGGATTAAGCCATCCTGTGGGGAGGAAAAAACCCACAAATACTCAAAGTTCTAATTTCCCAACAGAAAGTGTCAAAGATCGTGCAGTTCATACACCTTCTCACACCTGAACAGTTACCAAAGTCACACGCGCTGCAGTGCCCCTTACTACGCTGTCCAGAACGTTTAAACCAACGTTCCTCAGAAAAAAGAGAGCTTTCTTAAGAATATATCACGTGAAAGAAAAGCTTAATGAATACCTTCAGGGCAGAACAAATGAGCTGTTAAAACATATTTTAATCTACTTCTAGATATGATTCTCAAAGCAGCACTTCATAGTACAACCGGGTCTTAGTCATGGCACTTTTAAATAAAACCACGGTGTTACGTTTGGGGTTTTTCCCACTTAGTCTGAAAAGATGATTCATTTCTCTGGGTGAAACAGTACACGCATGTGAGTCTGAGAGGAACTGTTATCTTTGTCTGAAAAGAAAGCATAAAAATATTGCATATTTATTACTTACAAGCTGCAGCATGCAGGCTGCTGCTAAAAGTGCAACTACTCGACTGGGTTTTATTAACACGTCATCTCTATACAGCGAGCCAAAAGCCACCTGCAGAGCTGAAAAGAGAACAAGTGTCAAACAAAGATAGGGCATTGAGCACGGACAGTGAAAAGCATTCTTCAGTACAACCAAACCACTTGAGCGCACTCTGCTGTCTCAGCTGCTCCGGATAAAACCTAGTATGTACCAGCCCAAGCACACACGTAAGCTGAAAACACAAAACATGGCATTAACCAATAAAATAGGGGCCTTCGCACTATTTAAACTAATTATTCATCTTAAAGAGCCACCAAGTCATGCCACGGAGCAATGTGGAGAGCAGTAACTAGATAAAGGGAAGTTAAACCTCATGATCCTCCTCCGCCCTCGATCGCCAGCACAACGCTGAGGTGTTACTACGATGTTACAAGTTTCTCTGCAATTCTTCCAAAAACCCACTGCATCCTCACGGGAGGTGCTTGGAACCCCAGCAAAACGTTCTGCCACCTCACACCGGCCCCCCGCCAGCGCTCGCTCAGCGGCCGTTGCAGACCAGGCAGATGAAGACACGACTCACGCTAACTCTGGGTCTCCACAGGAGTTGCACCCATCGACCCCAAGAGCCCCGAGGCCGAAACAGCAGGACACGGGGTTGCTTTTCGGCTGCGCCTCCCAACTCAGAGGTTCAAGAATGAATTTGGCTCTACCGCCGACCCGAGTGAAACGTGAAACTGAACGAGCACAGCGCTCATTCCCTCAAGTTTCTTATTAGTTTGAAAATTACTTAAAAAAACCAAAAAAATTCAGTTATTTTTTGTCAGGTTTAACTTAACCTCTACTTTCAGAGATAACATAAAAATAAAAGGTTCCCATTTACCTTCTATATCAATATTTTGGTCAGGAATCTCCAACTCTATGATGTTCATGCTAGATTCTTTCCAAGATCCACTGAACATACTGGAAAAGTACCCTGACTATACGAGGGAAGATGAGAGAAAAAGAACTGAAGTAAGAGATGTCATTCAAATTAAAACTGTCAAAAGCAGCACACGGAACAAAAAAGCATTAATATTTACCTTTATGCAAAACAAAATGTATTAAGGGAACTTTTCACAAGCTAAAGCATTCTGACATACTTGAGAAAGGGCTTATCGTATCTGCTCTACTTCTGAAAGTGAAAACACGTACAGCAAATTTGGCCTACATCTGTAATCACAGTAAGTAAAGAGCTTTAAAAGGCCAGAAAAGCCACATAAGCTCTTTTCCTACAAGCCACACCACCAATGGGGATATAATTAGTCCAAGAACTAAGTCCTTAATGTTACTGGTAGACAACAAATCCTGCAGGCATTAGGGAATGCCAGTTTGGGTACTGGAGATAAAAAAGAAGCATGCAAGACGTACAAATTAATGTACAAGGTTGTAGCCTCATACCAAGGACACATACACATACACCATTTATGTAAATATACCTTTTATTATAAAGTGTAAGGCATATAAAACTAGAATTTGATAGGTTTCCATCCAAATGAAGTGAAATACACTGCTCTACTAGGATTCATGACTTTCCTTCTCAGCAGCAGATGTGCCCATTAGGGGATGCTATCACTCACTGAAGTTTACCTGAGAGATCAAAAAAATATAAAGTCTATTTGTACAGCACCACATTCCCTGACCTCTTAACTCAGCATTTCAACTCAGGGCAGCAAATAACATAAACCCCAATTTTGATCTTATTTGATTATGTAAATATCTCTATACCTTTGGCATATCCCCTAACTACGATGACATACACCACACTACTCTCAAAACCAGGACCTTATTCATGCTACAATCCTCACGAGGCCACCTTAGCTCTGCCACGTAGACCAATTCCTCAATTTCGTGAGAATTTATCACTTTAGTATACAGCATCAGAAGGAAATCCTCCATTTCTGAGATCTGCCGCTCACGCAGAGCAGCCCCTTACTGTTAGTTATCAAGCTAAACGCAGTCACTCGAGGGACAAGGGAAACGGAACCATTCAGACTGAGACAGTCTGCTCAACAAGGCAGAGGAGGAGTCACACCTTCATTAAAAGTAATTTACAGAGAGAATTATTTTTAACTTCCAAAACCACTTTACCTATAGTAACACAATTCCAATGACAGAGCACAAATTGAAATAGAAACTTGACTCAGGAGAACGGTTAACTTCACCACAAAAATTCACCTCCCAAGAACATCACTTGTACAAGGCCTCCACGGAACAAAATCGCAATTCTTGGTCTGTTAAAAGCACCCACAGAAGCTTTTTAACAAGCAGTTTTGGTCACCTACCCCCACTAAGTTTTAAGGAGCAGCTTCATGAACTTGAGACGTAGCAACAACAGAACCACAACGACTTAAAAACACCATCGCGGACAACAGCCTAAGGAGGAACCCGCACGTGCCCACCCTGTCTACGCTGTCCAAGGTCAGGCTGAGCACCCAGCCCACCGACACCCTCCCTTTGTCCCGCAGGGTTAGAAGCGGGCGGACAACGCTGCGGCTGCCAGCTGTCCTCCCCGGCCACACACGCTCACTGTTCTATCCAGAGATCGCTGCCACGGGGCAGTCTTGGGCTATACACAAGTGAGTCCCCTGTCCTCATTTTAATGCTCTTTAAAAGGTTCTAATGGATGTAAAATAAAAGGTTTTTTCCTACAATAAAGCAACGACATTTCCCTTGCTGTGGCCAACGCAAGCGGCTGCTGCACCTGTACTGGAATCCTGGCATTAACCCAACAACAACAATTCAGAATTCGCTTCTGATGTCACTTGTTACGCCAGAGAAATGGCATTCAACCTGCGGAGCAGCTCAGGGTGACACCTTCACCTTGGCACCCAGGAAACTGTTTTGGGTTTGATGACAGCTAACAGAGATGTCCCCGTTTTCAGGTACGGTACCGGACTTTACTTCCTCTCCTCGCTTCAGCTCAAGTGTTTCCAAGGTCAGACTCCCACTTTAAAGTTAATGGCACAACTGAATTCAGACCTTTCAAGACAAAGCTATGGTTTCTCCCCACTTCTGTCACAGGAAAAGCAATAAGGAGAACAGACAGTAAAGAGAACAGTACCTCTTCACTCCCAGAACACAGAGAACTTCACCTTAATACAAACCCAAAGTAAAACACTTATAGAAACAGCATCTTTTTAAAGTGTGCACTAAGACCTATTCCTTTTACAGCTTCTCTGCACACCTCCCTCACTCAGCAGCAGGACAGCTGCGTAACAAGCACAGAGACCCAGCTCCAGCAATTCCGCTTCAGGTACCTACACTTGCATCCCAGTGAACACTAAAATGGAACTGGGTTGGCAGGTGCTTTACAAACCCATTCTGGAGGCGCTTCCTCTGCTCTGCGATAAGACTGACACCACAGAGGACTCTCAGCCATTTGTTTAGCAAACAAGAACATGTTTTCACAACAGCAAAAGACAATTTTCAGGGCTTTTCACAACGGATGCACCAAGGTTAAGGCTAGTAGATTGAAAAAAAATTAAACAGCAAGAGACAGAAGCAAAGAATCTTTTCAAACAGAAAGCTACAGCTATGCTTCCTAACATTATTGCCAAAAGCACAACAAAAGTTGTTTAACTGTCTGAATCCACAGAGCAGCAAGTCTGAAATGCAAGGAAAAAAAAAAAAATCTCAAGTCACACTTAACATTTACCAGGTATTCTTTTATTAAAACCAGTTTCTACTGCAAGTAAGAAAGAAGCCCCTTACCTGGCACAGATAGATCTTATGCAAGTTCCACTCCTCTCCCAGAGCACAAATTTTAATATCGCTGTTCTCCCCGTTCAAAAACAGAGTCTGATAAATATACTTAGAAGTGCTTTTCAGTTTTTTCCTACACAAAAAGGCAAACAGAGATACACTCCTTCGGTTCTTTGTGTTACAAAAGGAACACGAAGCATAAAGTACTCGACAGGGGTTTTCCTCCCCATAACGGACTGACTG